CTAGATGTCTCTACTACATGCTAGATATCTCTACTACATGCTAGATATCTGTCTCTACTACATGCTAGATATCTGTCTCTACTACATGCTAGATATCGGTCTCTACTACATGCTAGATATCTGTCTCTACTACATGCTAGATATCTGTCTCTACTACATGCTAGATATCTGTATCTACTATATGCTAGATATCTGTCTCTACTACATGCTAGATATCTGTCTCTACTACATGCTAGATATCTGTCTCTACTACATGCTAGATATCTGTCTATACTACATGCTAGATATCTATCTCTACTATATGCTAGATATATGTCTCTACTACATGCTAGATATCTGTATCTACTACATGCTAGATATCTGTCTCTACTATATGCTAGATATCTGTCTCTACTACATGCTAGATATCTGTCTCTACATGCTAGATATCTGTCTCTACTACATGCTAGATATCTGTCTCTACTACAGCTAGATGTCTCTACTACATGCTAGTTGTCTCTACTACATGCTAGATATCTCTACTACATGCTAGATATCTGTATCTACTACATGCTAGATATCTGTCTCTACTACATGCTAGATATCTGTCTCTACTACATGCTAGATATATGTCTCTACTACAGCTAGATGTCTCTACTACATGCTAGATATCTCTACTACATGCTAGATATCTGTCTCTACTACATGCTAGATATCTGTCTCTACTACATGCTAGATATCTGTCTCTACTACATGCTAGATATCTGTCTCTACTACATGCTAGATATCTGTCTCTACTACATGCTAGATATCTGTCTCTACTACATGCTAGATATCTGTCTCTACTACAGTGCTAGATATCTGTCTCTACTACATGCTAGATATCTGTCTCTACTACATGCTAGATATCTGTCTCTACTACATGCTAGATATCTGTCTCTACTACATGCTAGATATCTGTCTCTACTACATGCTAGATATCTGTCTCTACTACATGCTAGATATCTGTCTCTACTACATGCTAGATATCTGTCTCTACTACATGCTAGATATCTGTCTCTACTACATGCTAGATATCTGTATCTACTACATGCTAGATATCTGTCTCTACTACATGCTAGATATCTGTCTCTACTACATGCTAGATATATGTCTCTACTACATGCTAGATATGTCTCTACTACATGCTAGATATCTGTCTCTACTACATGCTAGATATCTGTCTCTACTACAGCTAGATGTCTCTACTACATGCTAGATGTCTCTACTACATGCTAGATGTCTCTACTACATGCTAGATATCTCTACTACATGCTATATATCTGTATCTACTACATGCTAGATATCTGTCTCTACTACATGCTAGATATCTGTCTCTACTACATGCTAGATATATGTCTCTACTACAGCTAGATGTCTCTACTACATGCTAGATGTCTCTACTACATGCTAGATATCTGTCTCTACTACATGCTAGATATCTGTCTCTACTACATGCTAGATATCTGTCTCTACTACATGCTAGACATCTGTCTCTACTACATGCTAGATATCTGTCTCTACTACATGCTAGATATCTGTCTCTACTACATGCTAGATATCTGTCTCTACTACATGCTAGATATCTGTCTCTACTACATGCTAGATATCTGTCTCTACTACATGCTAGATATATGTCTCTACTACATGCTAGATATGTCTAGATATGTCTCTACTACATGCTAGATTATGTCTCTACTACATGCTAGATGTCTCTACTACAATGCTAGATATCTCTACTACATGCTAGATATCTGTCTCTACTACATGCTAGATATGTCTCTACTACAGCTAGATGTCTCTACTACATGCTAGATGTCTCTACTACATGCTAGATGTCTCTACTACATGCTAGATATCTGTCTCTACTATATGCTAGATATCTGTCTCTACTACATGCTAGATATCTGTCTCTACATGCTAGATATCTGTCTCTACTACATGCTAGATATACTGTCTCTACTACAGCTAGATGTCTCTACTACAATGCTAGTTGTCTCTACTACATGCTAGATATCTCTACTACATGCTAGATATCTGTATCTACTACATGCTAGATATCTGTCCTCTACTACATGCTAGATATCTGTCTCTACTACATGCTAGATATATGTCTCTACTACAGCTAGATGTCTCTACTACATGCTAGAATTATCATATCTCTACTACATGCTAGATATTCTGTCTCTACTACATGCTAGATATCTGTCTCTACTACATGCTAGATATCTGTCTCTACTACATGCTAGATATCTGTCTCTACTACATGCTAGATATCTGTCTCTAACTACATGCTAGATATCTGTCTCTACTACAATGCTAGATATCTTGTCTCTACTACATGCTAGATATCTGTCTCTACTACATGCTAGATTATGTCTCTAACTACATGCTAGATATCTGTCTCTACTTACATGCTAGATATCTGTCTCTACTACATGCTAGATATCCGTCTCTACTACATGCTAGATATCTGTCTCTACTACATGCTAGATATCTGTCTCTACTACATGCTAGATATCTGTCTCTACTACATGCTAGATATCTGTCTCTACTACATGCTAGATATCTGTCTCTACTACATGCTAGATATCTGTCTCTACTACATGATAGATATCTGTCTTCTAAACATGCTAGATAATAATCTCTACTACATGCTAGATATCTGTCTCTACTACATGCTAGATATCTGTCTCTACTACATGCTAGATATCTGTCTCTACTACATGCTAGATATATGTCTCTACTACATGCTAGATATATGTCTCTACTACATGCTAGATATATGTCTCTACTACATGCTAGATATCTGTCTCTACTACATGCTAGATATCTGTCTCTACTACATGCTAGATATCTGTCTCTACTACATGCTAGATATCTGTCTCTACTACATACTAGATATCTGTCTCTACTACATGCTAGATAGCTCTACTACATACTAGATATCTGGCTCTACTACATGCTATATATCTCTACTACATACTAGATATATGTCTGTAATGTGTACTAGATATCTCTACTACATGCTAGATATTTGTCTCTACTACATACTAGATATATGTCTATACTGTGTGCTAGATATCTATACTACATGCTAGATATGTCTCTACTACATGCTAGATATATCTGTCTCTACATGCTAGATATCTCTACTACATGCTAGATATCTCTGTCTCTACATGCTAGATATCTCTACTACATGCTAGATATCTCTACTACATGCTAGATATATCTGTCTCTACATGCTAGATATCTCTACTACATGCTAGATATCTCTGTCTCTACATGCTAGATATATATGTCTCTACATGCTAGATATCTCTACTACATGCTAGATATCTCTGTCTCTACATGCTAGATATCTCTGTCTCTACATGCTAGATATCTCTGTCTCTACATGCTAGATATCTCTGTCTCTACTACATGCTAGATATATCTACTACATGCTAGATATCTCTACTACATGCTAGATATCTCTACTACATGCTAGATATCTCTGTCTCTACATGCTAGATATCTCTCTCTACTACATGCTAGATATCTCTGTCTCTACATGCTAGATATATCTGTCTCTACATGCTAGATATATCTGTCTCTACATGCTAGATATCTCTGTCTCTACATGCTAGATATCTCTGTCTCTACTACATGCTAGATATCTCTACTACATGCTAGATATCTCTACTACATGCTAGATATCTCTACTACATGCTAGATATCTCTACTACATGCTAGATATCTCTACTACATGCTAGATATCTATGTCTCTACTACATGCTAGATATCTCTGTCTCTACTACATGCTAGATATCTCTGTCTCTACTACATGCTAGATATCTCTGTCTCTACTACATGCTAGATATCTCTACTACATGCTAGATATCTCTACTACATGCTAGATATCTCTGTCTCTACATGCTATATATCTCTGTCTCTACTACATGCTAGATATCTCTACTACATGCTAGATATCTCTACTACATGCTAGATATCTCTACTACATGCTAGATATCTCTACTACATGCTAGATATCTCTGTCTCTACATGCTAGATATCTCTGTCTCTACATGCTAGATATCTCTGTCTCTACTACATGCTAGATATCTCTACTACATGCTAGATATCTCTACTACATGCTAGATATCTCTACTACATGCTAGATATCTATGTCTCTACATGCTAGATATCTGTCTCTATTACATGCTAGATATCTCTACTACATGCTAGATATCTCTACTACATGCTAGATATCTCTACTACATGCTAGATATCTGTCTCTACATGCTAGATATATCTACTACATGCTAGATATCTCTGTCTCTACATGCTAGATATCTGTCTCTACATGCTAGATATCTCTACTACATGCTAGATATCTCTACTACATGCTATATATCTCTGTGTGTATCTTCTATCCATTCCATTTTGTAAAGAGCCAGAGACTAAATCAGTAATGGGTTGTGGCTCTCACTGCTATACAGACCGAGATGGTGGGAGGGGGAGAATTCTATTATGGAGCCAGTGTGAGTCAGCAGATTGACACTGCTCTAGGGTGCGGCTTCTGTACTCACTCACACCACCGCTGCACTGGACTGTATTAATGTAGAGCCACAATGGCGTCCAGTCAGAGCTGCAGTGGCATGCATACTGTATTGTTCTCATACATTAGAGATGGAAACTGAGCTCATATGATTGACTCTCACTGAAACCCAATTGTCTCCCCCTCTTTCTGTAGCATGCTCTTGTTCACTCTCATCAATGATTTAAAAGGAGAAATAAGGCAGAAACTCCCTTTAGCCCACGCCTGCACCAATCCAATGCTTTTAAATCCATCCATAGGAGTAGGCAAGCCTTGTGTCTCTCTCTTGTCAGGACCAGGGGACAACGTCCCAGCAGGCTTCATGTCTCTGTCCAGCCCGGCTGTAACATGAGACCCTCTGTGTCCGTCTGTCTCTGTCTCTCTCTGTCTTTCTTCAGGACCAGGGGACAACGTCCCAGCAGTGTATGGTCTGGATGTGACTGACGTGTCAGAGTGGGAGGAGACTGTCCTAAGCCCCGCCCTACATATACTGGATAGCCTTACTAAGGTGGAAACAGTTTTATCAGTGTTTAGTCCTGATTTTTGTTTTCTTTGGTCAAAGTTTCTGTCATGTTAGTTTGTTTAATTTAGCTAAATGAAATGAAATGAAAGTAAAGTTTGTTTTGCTTTTTCCCACTTCCTCTTCTTTAATTCCGGCCCAGGGGGAGCGGCCTGCAGTTGAGCCAATAAAAGTGGAGGGGGCAGGGCAGAGGAACAAGCGAAGCCGTCACGCCTGTGAGCTGTGTGACAAGGTGATCATCGGAGACCTGGAGTGGACAGGTGGGCAAGCGTTACGCCAATGTTCTTCCAACGTTGTGTCTTGGCATGACTGACCCTCTGTATACAATAGGACCAATTCAAACTTGACAGTTCTGTGTTTCTGAGAACGTTACATATAGCTGCTATTCCTCGTGAATTGGCACTCAATGTCTTTGGCGTAACGTGCACCAAACTTTTATGTTTATGGTTGTCAGACGTTGAACTCACTGACTTGAAACCTGTCCGGCTTTCTCTGTTGTCTCCAGCCCATCTCAAGTCTAAGAAACACCACTATCACGTGAGGAAGAAGAGGAAGTCTGAACCAGAATCTGAACCAGCCAGCGACCAGCCCCAGGGGACTACTCCACCTCCCACCCCCACTACAGACGGCCCTACCCTGGGTAAACCCACTACTCTAGCCCCTGGCTCAGCTGAGGCCTGTGGAGAACCAGAGTCCCCAGGTACCAGTCCTACTGAGAAAGAAGCCCCTGTTCTATAGGAGCGGAGTGCTTCACTATAAGGCCCTATAATCAGTATTGCCAAAATACTTCCATAGTCCTCTTCGTCCCGGGGGGACATAATGCAGCAACAGTCTTCTCTCACTGGAGTCTTTTTAGCCTCATCTTGTGCCCTGCTTGTCGAATTGACTCCTGTTAAATCAAAAAATATCTAAAGGAAAATGGAACAATCAAGGAAAAGTGCCTTTTTTTATGGATTATCTGAGGACAACACTGAGCCCAGGGATATGTCGGTTTCTTGATGACATCATCACTATGACATCGGCACTCATGTCTATGACGTCATCATTGTGTGACTCAAGTTCATGGATTGGTCGGTTTAGTTCATTGGACTCTGAGCTGAAGTTGAATCCTATTGTGACGTAACTCTGAAAATGGAATCTAAGTTCATGGTTTCAACAGGGTTCCAGACTTTTTTGGGTGCCTTCAATAAAGACCAACCTTCTCCGTTCTTGTCAGTTTTGTCGTCTTGCTAGCCGTCTTCCTCCACGCTGTCTGTCACTGGTGTGTTTCTAACGAGATGTACGCGTGTCTGCCTTGTAACTATTGTAATTAAAGATACATTTTTTAATGACTTCAATTGCGTTTGAATGACCAGACAAACCTGACATAATTTAATAGTTTTGTTATGAGTGAAGTGTGATTTGTACCTTCAGTGGTCGTCTTAGGAGTCTATTGTACTGTGTTTTCACTGCACTGATTCTAGCCTCTGTTTTACTACACTGAACAAAGATATCAACGCAACGTGCAACAATTTCAACGATTTTACAGAGTTACAGTTCAAAAAATGATATCTGTCAATTGAAATAGATTCATTAGGCCCTAATCTATGGATTTCACACGACTGGAAATACAGGAATGCAAAAGTAAGTGTGTGGGTCAGAAAACCAGTCAGTATCTGGTGTGACCAACTTTGGCCTCATGCAGCGCGACACATCTCCTTTGCATAGAGTTGATCAGGCTGTTGATTGTGGCCTGTGGAATGTTGTCCCACTCCTCTTCAATTTCTGTGTGAAGTTGCTGGATATTGGCAGGAACTGGAACACGCTGTCGTACACGTCGTTCCAGAGCATCCCAAACATGCTCAATGGATGACATGTCTGGTGAGTATGCAGGCCATGGAAGAACTGGGACATTTTCAGCTTCCTGGAATTGTGTACAGATCCTTGTGACATGGGGCCGTGCATTATCATGCTGAAACATGAGGTGGTGGCGGTGGATGAACGGCACGACAATGGGCCTCAGGATCTCATCACGGCATCTCTGTGCATTCAAATTGCCATCGATAAAATGCATTTGTGTTCGTTGTCTGTAGATTATACCTGCCCATACCATAACCCCACCGCCACCATGGGGCACAGCAAACAGCTCGCCCACACGACGCCATACACGTGGTCTGCGTTTGTGAGGCCGGTTGGATGTACAAATTCTGTAAAACGATGTTGGAGGCGGCTTATGGTAGAGAACTGAAAATTATATTATCTGGCAACAGCTTTGGTGGACATTCCTGCAGTCAGCATGCCAATTGCACGCTCCCTCAAAACTTGAGACATCTGTGGCATTGTGTTGTGTGACAAAACATTTTAGAGTGGCCTTTTATTGTCCCCAGCACAAGGTGCACCTGTATAATGATCATGCTGTTTAATCAGCTTCTTGATATGCCACACCTGTCAGGTGGATGGATCATCTTGGCAAAGGAGAAATGCTCACTAAACAGGGATGTAAACAAATTTGTGCACAAAATTCTGAGAGAAATAAGCTGTTTGTTTCTCTCACCTATTTTCTCTCCTCACCCTTTCTCTCTCTCCTCATGTTTAAAATAAAATATATATTCCCCCCTCTTCTTACTCCCTCCCTCTCTTTTTTAACCATCCCTTAAAACTCTAGTTTGTCGCCTTTGTCCTATTTCCCTCAGTCTGAGCTCTCTGTGCTCCATACAGTACAGGAAACCTGATTTAGCTCAGCCTCTGATCGTTCTCTCTAGTTTTCTCCATACTGTCCAGTATTCAGTAGTTTGTCCATAACCATTACCTCAGTCACAATGCTAAATATACATCTAGACATAATAGCTGGAAGGGAGTGTATCTGGGTCAGAACTGCACTGATAGCAAAGGTCACGTAGCTACTGGCCCCTTCGCGCTCTCTCTCTCTCTCTCTCTCTCACTCACTCACTCACTCACTCACTCACTCACTCACTCACTCACTCACTCACTCACTCACTCACTCACTCACTCACTCACTCACTCACTCACTCACTCACTCACTCACTCTGTCACTCACAGTCTATTCTTTAAAACCATCGTCACTTCACTTTCCTTCCATTAATCTCTCAGGTATGTCTAACCCTCTTGTTCGGAGGATCATGGAGCAGGTCAAAGAACAACTATGTAAACACTTTTGTTTCTGATTGGTCTCTGTTAGCTAGCTACTCAGTAGCCTATCAGCTGTGTGTAATGTCTCTGCTAGCTAGCTACTCAGTAGCCTGTTAGCTGTGTGTAATGTCTCTGTTAGCTAGCTACTCAGTAGCCTATCAGCTGTGTGTAATGTCTCTGCTAGCTAGCTACTCAGTAGCCTATCAGCTGTGTGAGTGTATTTGGCCGTGGCTACGTGGGTGTTAGCTAGCTACTCAGTAGCCTATCAGCTGTGTGAGTGTATTTGGCCGTGGCTACGTGGGTGTTAGCTAACCCAGGGCTGTGTGTGTTAGCTAACTGCAGTGTATTGGTTGGCTGGTTCTTGCTGGTACTCTAAGCACTACATAAACACAACAATGCTTTTGCAGTTCAGTGACATAAGCTCCACATAAACTACACACCCACACACACACACACACACACCCCGAGGGAGAGATGACGCAGGAACGTTGAGCACTAGGTCACCCTGGTCGGTCAAAAGGCTAATTAGCGGTGCAATGCAATCCGTGATCTACACTCTCTCTCCTCTCTCTCTCTCTCTCTCTCTCTCTCTCTCTCTCTCTCTCTCTCTCTCTCTCTCTCTCTCTCTCATATACACACACACACAGGGTGATTGTGACTGTTCTCGTTAGCTCTACAAAAGATGTGCTTAAAGAGTAACACCGAGAGGTTTGATAAGGAGACCGTAACCACAGCTGTCCACACACACAGAGTGGGTATGACTGCACTTGTTTTTCTATACAAACACAGCAATGAAAACTAAGACCCACATATGCGTACACCGAAACTAATCAGTGTGGGTGTGCTGTAACCTACATGTTTTGTATTCTGCAAAACACCACAGAGCTTCACCCCAATTCACCTCCTCATTTATATCCATCTCTCCCTCTAATACAGTGAATGATATACGGTTAGCTGCATGGTCACTGGCTACCTACCCAGACCTGGGTTTAAATACTATTTGTAATCTTTCAAATACTCTGGTAAGTGTTTGCTTTAGCCTGTCTGGACTGCCAGATTGGCGGGGGTTGGCAGTTTTATGACTATTCTATTGGTTCCATTGCGCTATGCAAGCTCAATCGAGCCCAGCTAAAGATTTTGAAATTACAGTTCCAGTCAAAAGTTTGGACACACCTACTCATTCAAGGGTTTTTCTTTATTATTTTTACTATTTTCTACATTGTAGAATAATAGTGAAGACATAACTATGAAATAACACATACGGAATCATGTAGTAACAAAAAAGTGTTAAACAAATCAAAATATATTTTATATTTCAGATTGTTCAATTAGCTACCCTTTGCCTTGATGACAGCTTTGCACACTCTTGGCATTCTCTCAACCAGCTTCATAAGGTAGTCACATGGAATGCATTTCAATTAACAGGTGTGCCTTCATAAAAGTTAATTTGTGGAATTTCTTTCCTCCTTAATGCGTTTGGGCCGATCAGTTGTGTTGTGACAAGGTAGGGGGGGTATACAGAAGATAGCCCTATTTGGTAAAAGACCAAGTCCATATTATGGCAGGAACAGCTCAAATAAGCAAAGAGAAACGACAGTCTATCATTACTTTAGACATGAAGGTCAGTCAACTTTGAAAGTTTCTTCATGTGCAGTCGCAAAAACCATCATGTGCTATGATGAAACTGGCTCTCATGAGGACCACCACAGGAATGGAAGACACAGAGTTACCTCTGCTGCAGAGGATAAGTTCATTAGAGTTACCAGCCTCAGAAATTGCAGCCCAAATAAATGCTTCACAGAGTTCAAGTCACAGACACTCAACATCTCAAAATCAACTGTTCAGAGGGGACTGTGTGAATCAGGCCTTCATGGTCGAATTGCTGCAAATAAATTGCTACTAAAGGACACCAATAAGAAGAAGAGATTTGCTTGGGCCAAGAAACACGAGCAATGGACATTAGACCGGTGGAAATGTGTCCTTTGGTCTGGAGTCCAAATTGGAGATTTTAGGTTCCAACCGCTGTGTCTTTGTGAGACGCGGTGTGGGTAAATGGATGATCTCTGCATGTGTAGTTCCCACCGTAAGCATGGAGGAGGAGGTGTTATGGTGTGCGGGTGCTTTGCTGGTGACACTGTGATTTATTTAGAATTCAAGGCACACTTAACCAGCATGGCTACCACAGCATTCTGCAGCGATCTGTCATCCCATCTGGTTTGGGCTTAGTGGGACGATCATTTGTTTTTCAACAGGACAATGACCCAACACACCTCCAGGCTGTGTAAGGGCTATTTTACCAAGAAGGAGAGTGATGGAGTGCTGCATCAGATGACCTGGCCTCCACAATCCCCCAACTTCAACACAATTTAGATGATTTGGGATCAGTCAGACGGGAGAGTGAAGGAAAAGCAGCCAACAAGTGCTCAGCATATGTGGGAACTCCTTCAAGGCTGTTGGAAAGAGCATTCCAGGTGAAGCTGGTTGAGAGAATGCCAAGAGTGTGCAAAGCTGTCATCAAAGCAATGGGTGGCTATTTGAACAATCTGAAATATAACATATATTTTGATTTGTTTTACACTTTTTTGGTTACTACATGATTCCGCATGTGT